ATCTTCAATATATACTGTAGTTTCAGCAACACATTGCAATTGGCAGCAATCAGTACTTGACTATGCTGAATTTTCTCTTAACAAAATACTTTTCCTGTAGTATAGTATAGTAAAGTATATCTTTCATATACTTAAAATTTTTGATAAGATTTAAAATACTGAAACAACTACCAGGGACATTCTAATTAAACCTGAAAGCACGAATAACCCCAGCTCCCTCAGCCACTCCCCATAAGACTTGTGCTCCAGACTCCTCACCAGCTTTGTTGCCCTTCTCTGGACATGCTCCAGGGCCTCAGTGTCTTTCTTGCAGCGAGGAGCCCAAAAGTGAACACAATATTCAAGGTGTGACCTCACCACTGCTGAGTACAGAGTAATCTTATCTCAGATTCATGAAAAAAAAAAGCCTGGAGTTCACTGTGAATTTATTTATGCCCAGTGACTTACTGGTAGGAACATCATAAAAGTGTTCAACACATCCCATAAAAACACGGAAAAGGAAAATATGTATGCATCTACCTGGTAATTTCCTCTAAGTCACCGAAAAGGAGAAGTCTGAACTTAGACCTGTATATATAGCCAGAAGATCTGATCTTTCTCTTGTTGAGCAGCCAACTGACAACCACAAGCCACTATTCCACAGGCATCATCACTGTAATTAAATGTTTTTTGTTGGGCAGACTGCGGTGCTGTGAGGGCACGTTGCATGGCATTCTGCTGCTTTATTCTTGGGAAACACACATTGCATATGACTGCATCTGCCAGGGGAGTCCAATCATCACCAGGCCCATGGGCACATCTAATTTCAATTAAGTGGTAAAAATTGCTGGAACCATGATAATTCTTCACAGAAAGGGATTCCCTATTCAGAGCACAAAAATGCATTGAGATGACATATCACCGCATTTGAGGAAGCACAGTTACCAGACATGTTGTGGTCACGTGTATGACCCCAAATTCTGCATGAAACATTCAAAACACACATACTGTCTGTCTACAAAATAAATGAATAATTAAAATATGTACAGAAAACAGACTAAGCTGTTTGTTTTGCTTTTTAAAACAGCAAGCTTACATAGTGCAATGAAATATTTATCCACAATGTTTTCCTCTTTCTGATCTATTTTTTCTGGATTGATTACCTCTGAAAGCTTTCCTGACATGAGCTTTTGTATGCTGACAAAACAGAGACAAAGCAAAGCATCTTGATTAGCCAAAATGCAGGTCAGCTTCTAGTTGAGGTTGCCAGACCAGCAAGAATAGGGAACGTGGTCAGAAGTCTGCATTTTTTGTAAATTTAGTTTTTATGGTGTAGAGTAATCCACTCCCATATTTTCCGCAGGAAGCAGAAGAATTACCAAACAGCACTTAGAGTTGAGTTTTTAAATTAGCTGGCTCCATTCTTTTGAGAATTGGTAACAAAAAGAGCAGTTAGATTTCAATGTCACACAAGCAGTAGTTGTCATAACAATTAATGTGCTGCCTCATAATCCGTGGGCTTCAAACAAGAAGCATGCAGTTAAGTTAGTGTTATTGCTAAATTCTAAATTATGCCTGGGTTCCAAATGCCTTTAGTGAGCTGACTGTATTCAACTGCAACTGTGTCAGCGTACACCATGTATTCAAATGTCCACAAGAAAATACACTTCAAACAAAAACCCACAGAAAACATTTTAAAGACTATTCACAAGGCAAATAGGCTTAGACTGGTTGTTCTGCATAGTATCAAACATCTTCCACTGGAGTAAAACATTTGTCCTTCTTGTATATGAGAATCTAGCCCTACTACTAAGTTCAACCTTTAAAAGTCCATGAAAGGCTCTGGTTATATTCTGCACAAACATGCAATCAGATGCATCTGTTAGTCACAACTACTAAGCTAGTATTTTAACTACTGATAACCAGGTGCTTGTACTATGAACCACTATGGCTTTCTCTCAAGTAGAACCCACTCAATATTTAGTACCTGTTCTGCCACAGACGTTTGAAAATATCTATGTACTACCTGTCAGTGAAATAAACGAGTCCTCTTTATTTCCATGGAACATTATATTATGATTTGATAAACTAAGCCCAAAGTACAAATGAAGGCTTATCATTACTCAGTTAGAAGTCTGTTAAGAATTTAAAATGTTTTTTTCCTTTTCTTTTTCTTTCTTTTTTTTTTTTTTTTGGCAAAATGTAGTAAAATGATTTCTAGCAAATAATTGTTTACTAAGAATTGTTTCGTGGTTTTATAATTTCTTCAATTTATGGGAAATCATAAGTACTATTAAATATGACTGCTGAATCATTTAAGTCCATGCTGACTCTAAACAATGAGCTTCTTCAGATAGCAATATTATTCAAGAGGAAAAAGAAAACAAACAAAACCAATCAAAATAAACAAAGTCATAAAACAAAAACAAAAACAAACCTGACAGATTTGCATGCATATTAAAGATACTGTAATCCACCAGGGACAATCTGGACAGGAGACAGCATGACTGTCTGACATGAAACAATAATCCTCAGAAACTACAGTCTTCATATTGTTCAGGAATTAGTTGTCATTGACACATAGGAGAGACTTGGATGATCTTTTGAGGCCAGATCAGTCTCTACAGTGATTCTGTACGGGCAACAAACAATTTAATTTAGCTGAGATACAGTGACTCCAATTTATGCTGAGGCATGGAAGAAGATACAGACCTGACCAAGAGAGGTGAAAGAAGGATGATAGCATCATTATTATGTACATTTATGCAATCCTCTCCTGCTTTGATTATAACTGATATCTAGCAATAATTTAAACTTTTGCTCCTTGAATATATTTTACATTCTTACATAAAACTCAGGAACTTTAACTTTGACTACATATGCAATAATGTCTATTGAATTATCAAACATAGCTCTGGATGAAATGCAATACCAGAACTGCACTGATGCTCGGTAAACAAATGTGTTGTATTTATGTTGTATGTATTTATTGTGGATACATATAGAATATATGTAGTATTTTCTTCATTCAGAAGCAATGCACTGCAAAAGACTCACTATTACTTCTGCAGCTGATGTTGCAGATGCGTAATGGGGTTGTATTTATACATGCTGACTGTTGAGCGAGAAGCATTTTTTTGTGTGTGTTTTTTTGTTGTTGTTATTGTTAGGAATGAAAATGCTTTCTTGTGTACCACCTTCTTGCACCACTTGCTTGGGAAGAAAACAATATGAGGATGCTTGCAAGTACTTTGCTCAAAAGCTATTTCGAAGCATCCAGTGAAAATTAGTATAACTTATCCAGCTGTTTGTGGACAAATATAAACATACAATGACTGACAGCTACTCCTTTTTTTACGTAGAAAATAGTAACTCAAATTCATTCTTGCCAGCATCAGTCATCTTACATCTGCATAATCAAGAGGCCTTGCAGATGACTGCTTCTTTGCTGACGAGTAAGTGATCCTTATTAGATACATACAATTCTTCAATTAAATAATTTATATTTATAAAATACTTTACTTTTACTGCACACATTATTTGCAGAAATTATTAAATCTTAATTGTGTTAATAGCATAAATTTAAAACTTTGTAATTCATAACAGAATTAGTAAAATTCCAAGAAATTTCTAGCTTCTTTCTTTTTGATTATCACATTTTTCATTGTTAATTTTAACTATATACACATTTCAATTAAATCAATGTGTCCTCACTGCCTGATAACTCTGTTTGACAGTTCTGTTTGGCAGCTGGTATCAGAGAAAGCGTATGAAAATATGTTTTGTATTACAAGATAAAACACATGGATTTGCCATTTTATTCCTACCTGTGTCCTTAGGATAAATGCAAAATAGGGAAGTTAAGAGACAGGGAGCACAGGGTAAGGTTGAGAATGATTCCAGACTTGTCAAAGCATCAGCGGAAGGGTCACAGAAGTCATCAAAGCTCTTCTGCCAAAGTGCCTAATTCAAATTCTAGTGCTGTGCTAAGTCAGAGTCTATTATTCCATTCATGTTTCTGTGAACATTACAGGCCCTTGTACATGATAATTTGGTTTGAAAGCCTCCCACTAAGGTGAAAAGATGAAATACATGTGTGTCCTGGTGCTATTGCAGTTCGTGCCTGAAGAAAGCATTTCAGCAAAACACTTGTGTGTATTTAACATTTCCTAATACTGCTTTGCTTTTAGGAATTTTTAGTAATTAATCCCCAATACTGGGAAAAGTTGGACTATTTTAAGCTACATTCCCTTCTGCTGATGGGTAAACAAATCTAAAAATTTAGTCTGCTTGCTGTTGCCACCAATATAGATCAGTTCCATTCTCATATTTGTATTGCCAAAGCAGAAAAAATACAAGCTCGAAATCCAAAATGTGAAAAGGAGCCCAAAGGAAATATGATGTTGGATTTCTATCCATGATTCTCTCAACCTAGAAAATTACAACCTGAATAACATTCCTTGTTATGGACAATTGCAAATATTCTACTTAAAATTCCACACCCAGCTCTCATTTGCTTTTGAAACTATTAATTTGAATGCCAGCAGTCCCTAACAATTTATTACCTGAAATTAAAAGGAATATTTTAAAATATTTTTTAAACGTGAAAAATAAGCGTACAACACAGGCCTTTAGAAAGCCTTCTTCCTATTCACATCTTCAAGGCCACTAGTTATTTCCATGCTTTTTAAATTGTTCACTGCATTTCACAGAAGCATGGGGAAACCGTAGCTGCTGTGTTATGGAATAACAGCCTTCAAGATAAAGGGGGAGAAAAAAAAGCAAAAAAAAAAAAGCCAAGGAATGGCTCAGTGATAAACATCTGGTTTTATACCTAAGATGCAAACTCTGAATTCATCCCCAAACACCCAAAATATTGGTCTGTGCAAGCTCTGAATTATCCACAATCTGAAAACCAAACAGACAAAAAAACCCCACACACTGTTTTGGGAATGTGAGTGGAATTAGGAGCTTAGGAAATGTGTGCGTTGATCAAAATGCATGCAGAAGTGAGAACTTACAGATTTGCCAGGAAAAAAACAGAGTTGCCTTTGCAAATGCAGCTTTGGATGGGTAGAGAAAGTTTCTCTCTGGAACAGGAAGATAAACAGATTCGTTATACAGCATTGCAGTTACTGCTCTGCCCTGCCTTATAAAACAGGAGGAAGCAAAACATCACACACACATTCTATAAAGTCTGGGTACAAATATGAAATAAAAAAAGTGAATAGCCCTCACATACCTACTTGTCTTAGAACTTGGGATCTAGAGAAAGAGCAGAAATTTGTACTGCTATACCATATTATAAACATCCCATAAAGTTTTTGCATTCCATCTTACCTTATGTAACAACACTATTTTTTGGACACATTTGCACATTAATTACAGTGTTATGCAGTTTTGTGTGTTTCATCCATTTTGAAAGCTGTACTTCTAAGAAGAAACTGTGGTTTTAGGATGCCGTGTAGCTCTGCTTATAAGTATGCGTTAAGATTAAATATCAGATGTGAAGCTTACCGTGACATTTTGCCTATAAAAAATTTATTTTAAGTGGAATGTGCTGTATTTTAACAAAACATCTCAAGGACTTTCAAGTATATCTTGAAGGCTCTCAAGGAAAAAGGAACAAGTTGTATTTTGCACACACTGAAGTTCCCTTGCTGATGCAAATAGAAAACCAACAAGAAAACAGTGCCATAGTATTTACATTTCAAAAATATCTGCCTATCTGTATCCTGAGCAGTTATTTTTGTTATGATAATCTATTTTTACCATATTGCTCAATTGTTAAAGGTCTTTGAAACACATTCTATAAATTGCCACCTAATCCAGGCAAAAATTATGTTATTTATGTTCCCTAGTCATTTTCTCAGGGAAAGCATAAATTCCTTTCAACGCTACATACATATCATATGGTTTGGCTTAGCCTTAGATTTCATTACCATTTTTGAATAAAGTATTTGTATGTAGAAGGCATGCTGTATTAACTAATCTGTTTTCCTGCCAGGGAAGACTTCTACCCTCATTTTCTGACTTCCCATCATGAACCAGAAAGTGGGTATGACAATGCAATTAATATCTATTTAATTGAAATCCCCAACTCCAGATACACTTCACTGCATGAGACACAATGGCAGTGTCTTATCATGTTGTAATTTTCTCTATCAAAAAAAGGCAGGGAAGAACTATCTACTTCGCACAGAGCTAAAATAATTCCATAAACATAGCAGTGAAATAGTCACACTCAACTTACAGAAATCGCAGCCCAGTACATAAGCTAAATTTTCTGACTGGCTCAGCTTTAGCAGCCTTGAAATCTCAGTAATAAGAAACTTAATTATCATCATATTTAGGAAGGAGAAAAAGAAACATATGCCTAACAAATAAGAATCCATACGTTAACGAAAAAAAGAGCGTGATTCATATACAGCGGAGAAAAGCCATTTTAGCATCAGTATTATTCTGAACAGAACAGTTATAAGTAATTGCACAGCTTTTTGACCACAGTGAAACAGTGTCAATGTAGACATTATGCCTTGTGTTATATAAGAAAATGAACATCATGGTCTCACATTAAAGTCTTCAAGTCTATGAATAGTTCACCAAGATGCTCAAATGCTCAGCCTTAAAAACAGATGGAATTGAACAAAAAAACTGCCTACAAAAGGTGATTAAGGCTAACCGCTGAAGGAACATGCTGTTTAATCAAGCATTTAAAAGAAAGGAAAGGAAGAAATAATATCCAAATCACTCTGTCTTACTCAACTATCACACTCAAAGTGAAGGTAAACAAAAACCCTCAAAGTGAAGGTAAACAAAGACCTTGCAATCCAGTTTTTCTGTTGTGTGAACAAGTAATGTCATCATCTAGTGTTGCTTCAATGAATCCTCATTCAACTGAGGCTCTAGGAGGAGACGAAGTCTGGATAGTTTTCTACCGGATGCACTGATGAAGATTTGTTACTGCCCATTACAAAGAAATTCACCTTTTTGGTGTTCACCCAACACAACCCCAAAGACAATCTTCTAAGACTGACATATAAATATACACACATTTTTAGTACCATTATTCAGTGCTCAGCATAAATTAAAAAATGTTTTCAATTAATCACTAATTTTAACTAAATATTTGAATATATCTGAAAGTTATTTAATAACTAACACCCATAAAATGTAATTTCTATTCTATAGAATAACTCAAAATTATGCTTTATAACTTTAGTTAAGATATCAGGTGTTAGGGTTCCTAGGATGTGCTAGGTGTGAGAGAAATCAACTCAACAGAATACTTAAAAATATACACATTGCAGGAAAACATTTAATATCCCTTTTGCTTGTAGTGTTTTGTTTTCTTTTTTAAGGGTATAACGTAAAATGAGCTATATAGAAATATACCATCTGGAGATGAAACAGACTGGTATTTGTAAGACAAAAAGGAAAATAAATTATACTAGGAAAACTATATGGAGATCAAGTTGGTAAATATTGAACAATTGGCTGTAGTGATCAGATTTGTATGCTGCAGTCTCTTATCAGAAAGGGATATAAATGAGAAGGTTGCATTTCTGTAGATTCAAGGAAGAATTCACAAGGGATTTTAGTTAAATGAGTTCTGCTGAAAAGATGTGCAGCGCTGAGCGCTGAGGAGGTGCAGAAAAGCTCTGCCGTGTGAATATGAGATGGCACTGGTCCATTGCCTGCTCCAGAACACTGTCTGGTTTGGCCAGAGGAAAATCCAGTGGAAAATGCAGAATACGTTAAACTACAAAGTGAGTTTCTTACGTTTAAATTTCATCTTCATTTAGTTCATCACTCAGCTTTAAGAAGCTCACAAAAACAGCATCCAAGCTAGTCTACGTATGAAAAGCAAATCAAGGGCATTACTGTATCTACAGAAAGGAAACAGTTCTGGCAAACAGAAATAGAAGAAGGAAAAGTATTAAATAATTCATTTAACTGAGCACTCTACAAAAACTGGCAGACTGTGAATTGCACATGCATGCCCGGTTTTACAACTCAAAAGCAGATCCTAAATCTCCAGAAAAGAAAAATTCATGTCATTAACTTTAAATTCAAAGTTACATTGGAAAGGTTTGTGTGAAGATCAATAAATAACTATAATTATTGAAGAAAACTATGAATAAAACATTAAATTATAGGTTGCAAGCCTGTAGGCACTTCACACCATTAAATAAATTTCTACTTTTAATCTAAACTCTCACTCTGAAAAAAATAAAGAAAATTAAGAACTCTAAAGAAAATGATGATTTTCTTTTACAAAATGAACCTTAAACACTTTTTTTGTTATGAATAAAAATTAAATTAAAATGAAAGTCAGCTTCTAATACAAGACTATTTTTAAGTTGAAAAGAGTATGAATTTATTCAACAAGAGAGAAACTGCAGGGTGGAGTGCTATTTCCCATATAGCATATACAACTTTGGATACAATACATACATTCTGATGTACAAAGTTTTCTGAATGCTAACATACAAAAGTATATATAAGGAAGGTAGAAAATATTCCCAGAGATTCAACTGAATCAGCAAATAACTGCTCTATCTCCTCACCTGGCTGAAAGTTTGTTCTCCCTTGAAAATTTGGCTTGAAAGCCTCTGGTCAGTTTCTCTTGAAGGTTTCTAGATTAATTGATGAGAAAAATGTAACATCTTTTGATGCCTCCCATTCTACAGGAATTGTATGTAGCCCAAAAGAATGAAAGGTATTTCCAAAAAATTATAAATTGTATATTAGCTAAAATGTACTATGATTGAGTTTTGTATATTTCGGTGTGAACTCTTTTGATATCATTTTATGTCATTTCACTATGAAATGACAGTTGTTTCAACTAGCATGATTTCAGTGCAGGATTTCTGTTATAGGTTATGTGCTGTCAGTTGCATTAATCACAGAACAATTTCTGCTCCATTATGTAAACAATGTTTCATTTGCTGTAATAGTTCTGTTTAAACATTTAAACTTCTCTCTGTCAGAATGCAGTCTTTCTACTTTCTGATTCCTCTTAAGAGGTGATGACATTTTTCTGCCTCTTCTATGTTTACTTGCTGCAAGTTGGCTGCACTGTTATTGAACCAAGAATACTAACAGCATGCCATAAGCACAAAAATCATCTTACTTTGAAAGACCAGTTACACTCTATTTACTTATAACTTGTGAGGATCATCTGGCTATGCCTGAAATGATTCAAGTTCAGCCTTTGAAGTTAAAAATTGGTGTTACAAATGCTATGCAGGATGATCATATAACCCCACCTCATTCTGTACACAACATCAATTACATGATACAAGAATACAATTTAATTCTGGAATCTGAAAGTAATCTCCACTGTGGGTAAAATTCTATGCTGAAGGTTTTGACAGAACTTCTGTTCTATGCAATGTCACCAACAACTCAAAAAACACAAGATGATGAAAGAAAAAACTATGCTATTTAGGTCTTGTGTTTATTTTAATTACTTCTTCATGTAGCAGACTGAAATGTTAAGTATTCCATTTTTTTTTGGTAAATTCATCCCAAAAACTCAAAATACTTTCTAGGACTTTTTGTAGTAAAGCAACATTTAGAGATGTAGACAGGAACATGTAAGCAACTTTTTACTAAGCCAATGTCAAACATGGGATAGAGCTAAAAACAATAACGCCTAATGAAAAAATCCAGAAGGTTGTAAGAATCAATCAAACATACAATAGAAACATCAGGTGTGATCCCTATTACAAGCCTATTTCTACATATGTAACTTAAATTATTGTGAAAAAAATGTCAGTCATAACTATTTGACTAGTATTAAAAGAAGCTATGCTTTTACTGCTATACAAGAGTTTCAATCTAAAATAGAAAAATTTTAAACACATCCTTGCATTTCATGACAACAGAAAAATAGTTAATGCTGCTGAGACAGCATCAAAGAAGTAATGAAGGCAGTATTTTGAATAGATACTGAATGTGAGGATGACTAACACTTTTTGGGTAAATTTACCTGTAGTACACTGTAGGCAAAAATATTGCCACTAGAAAAATAATCACTATTTCAGAGTCTACACACCAACCAATGCAATGACAAAACACACAC